TTTTTCCTCCCCTCATCCATCCATCCATCCATCCACTCCCACGCATTCCCTCCGGGGTAACTGTGGTTCCTTAAAAGGGTCTTAAAATAAATTATCGAGAATTAAGGAATTAAAATGTATCGAAATGTCTTGAAAAGGCTACAGATCTCGGATCATTTCTTTCTCGGCCGTGGAATGACAGGTTCCTCTGCTCTAAATGTTCACAGATTAATACAGGACAGGATTAGCTGTAAAAAGAATTTCTTTTGTCACTGTATCTGCTTTAAAAAACACAACTGGGCTTTGTGTCCCTTAACAATTAATTTCCTGCTTTGCTTTATCTTTATCTAGTCAGTTTTAGTTGCAGGACTCTCATTTTGCTCTGCCCCACTGGAACCAGGCTGCTTTTCTCAGTTTTGTTCTTCAGCTTTTTAAAAAAAAATAAGAAAAATTCTGTTCACTTCCATTTATAAAAAAAAAAAAAGAGCCCACACTATGTCCCTTCTGCTGTGCCTTCATCTCCCCGTATCGCCTCTCATCTGTGTAAAGCAGGGTCAAATTAAACTGATATCAATGGCTTTGGTTGCCGAGATAATGATAAAAGTCAGCTTGAGCTTTCGATCTACCACGGAGTATTGGATCGAATCAATATGACTCTGTGATTACCCCGGCAACATCTGCATTTTATATATCACAGCTCTTTTTTTTTTTTTTACATTATTTGTGAATACGAAACCTTTCTAAATTAAATCCAAGGTCTCTTTCTCTGTATCCTCGGACTCATTCCTCTTCTCTCTATAATGTCACACCTACAACTCTGTCTCTTATTCTTAATAGGGTCACCTGTTTAGATTTAGTTTAAAGTACTTGAATTCAGAGCAACATCCATCCTTCTGTCTTCTGTTATTTATCTCATTCCTCCGTCTTCGTGGCTCTGATCTCGCCGTAGTACATTTTCTACTCTGCAGTGAGGCAGCCGTCACTGTGAGGATTTGTCAGTCATCATTTTCTTCTTCTTCTTCTATGTCTCATCATGCTGTTCGTCCAGTCCTCGCTCCCTCCACCCCATACATCTTTCTCCACTCTCCAAAACTTGGTGCACGCTGTGCGGCGCTGGAACGAACCGGTGGAGGACTTGTGTGATTTTTCTCATTCCCCATCTCCTCTTCTTCTTCTTCTCCTCTCTTCAATCAACTCTCTTATTTTTTATTCTTTTCCTTTTTCCGTTCCTGTTCTAGTATATCCGTCTTTTTCTCTGTACTCCGAACTCTCATCCCTTCATGTCTTGCTGTCTTAACTCTGAAGCACACTGTCTGCGCTGTGCTGCTCGGGCCAACTGCATAGATGACTTGCTGCTCTCTTTCAATCTATCTTTTGGATCATTGAGGAATTTTCAGTCACAGTTTTTCCTCCTCCCTGCCTCACTTGATAGATCCCACCATCCTTTTTATTTTACTTTCTTAATCTGTCTGTGCTTACTTCCTCTTTCCCTTTCTCGGCTGGGCGGTTTTTTCCATGTCAACCCAAAGGAGCAGAACGTTTCTCACATGACTCTTTATTTTCCTATAGTCAACACTGGTCTCTTTTAACCACAATCGCAATCTTTCCTCGACTTTGAAGGCGCACGAGTCGATACTTTCATACTCACAGTAGATCGGACGACTGAGCGTAATGTGGATGGAGTCGCACCCACAGAGAATTATCAACTCTACAGTTCTCCTCAGCACCACAGAGCTTTTTGGTGTTTTTCAGCTCACAACCTCACTGTTTCTGCTCATAGATCTTGCTTCAAGCTGGTTTCAGCAAAAAACTAAAAAAAAAACTAAAAATAACAGCAAAAAAATTTAAAAAAACACTGTGCACTTCCTGCTGAGCACCAAATGGCAAACAGGCAAAGTCAGAAACATGTTGAAGCATTTAGCAGCTAAAGAGCTGGATACAGAGACCAAAATAGAGCTAATAGGAGAGTGAATATTGGAGTTCTATTTATTGCAAATGTGTTAGCAATGACAACTTCAGAGGTGGTAAAATGTCTTGTATGCAGCCTGTTGTGCTGACACCCAAAAGGAATCATCAGTTACTCCAGATTTATGTAGTCCTTTTAAACATGACCATGAGTGTTGTATAACCTTAACCAAACAGTTTGGGGTCTAAACTTAACCAATACCTCACCGTGGTTTAGTGGCACATCAGAAAACACCAATAAATTTTAAATAAATAAATTCAGATCAAGTCAAAAATCGTCTTTTCTTTTCTTTCTCCCCCCGTCTCTCTCTCTCTCTCTCTCTCTCTCTCTCTCCATCTGCTACTCTCTCCCCCATAAAACTGTTGTCTTCCGTTTTACCACTCCTCTCTACGTTCTTGTCCCTTATCATCACGTTTCATCTCTCCTACATCAACCACTAACTCCCGTTCCTCCTTTATTTTTCTATCTCTCTGTTTTCAAAAAACAAGATCTTAATTTCCATCTTTTTCCCTCCATCTGCTGCACTTTGAAGGGAAGATATGGGATGAATTCTGA